AGCAGGTGTGGACTTCCATTTCTACCTTCTATAAAGATTTTATTTACTGTGTGATATGATGAAAAAGCATCATGCATGCTCTGAAAACCTCCCTGAAGCACAAAAACCAGAGAAGACAAGTAGGGAACCCACCTGGTTGTGATGTGTCAGTCCACCCTCTCTTGGCTCGTACACAGTAATCCCACCTAGTGTTGGGGTCTTTGACAAATTTCCCCAAGTCTTGGAAAAGCTGACTGAAGGACATTTGGCTAGCCTGATACACTGTGTAGTAAAGCAGGGCAGCCCTCCAAAGGAAAGGGTCTTTGCGGAACAGGACGCTGTGAATACTCGCTAGCCCCTCCTCTGTAGGGTTGATTGGTTTTAACCCGTGTTTTCTACGTCCGTTCCAGTTGCACCAAGGCTGGCTGTTGTTGTTAAAACCCCGGAAATAATGAGTTCCTGGGAAAACAAAAAAAAAAAGAATATGGGACTTAGAACAGTAGCATCTAGTGATTTAAAAAAAAATAATAAAATATGGAAGAAAATGGCCATTTCAGAGCTGTGAACTGGTAGGACTGGGCACTGGGAAAAGTGCCGACTTTAGCCTTGTCTACAAGAGAGAATTTTGTCAGAGGTAGATACAGGGCGTAACTGCTCACCTGCTGACTCCCAAAAATGCCTAAGGAATACACACATCAGCAAGACTTAAACTCCCAAATCCATGGCAATGAATTTTCAAAAGTGTTTTACATGCTGAATGCCTCTAGCATAGGCTAGGCACTGTAGAACACAGAAGGAAGGAGAATCAAAGTAAGGAAGGAGAAATGTTGCCTCTTGAAGGTGATTGAACAGACCTACTGCAGCCTTGGAAGAGGACTCACAATGTGAGTAACAGTGGTTCAAGGCAATCACAAGGCTTCAGTTGAAATTCAGGCACTAGCCAGGTTTGTCAAGTTTTGATGTACTTAATTGAAACAGATTCCCTGAAAAGTTTGTAGACGTTTTCCACAGGGCTGGGCCGATCTTGTGTAATGTACAGTTAAGGCATCCTTGCCCTGGTTTAGGGGCCACTGAGTAAATCTGTCATATCTAAAGATTATGTACATTTGCAAGCAGTGCAACATGACCGAAGCAGATTGATAAGTAAAAAGGCTGGTGCTGAGGCTGAATGGTTGCACTGGTTTTGTTTCCCTTTTTTTTTTTTTACTAGCTCAAGTTGCTCTCATGAGCAAAATGTCCTTGAGCAGTGATAGCACAGAAGATAGCAAAGCCTCTTGGCTACCATCACCTGAAAGGATTACGATTTGCCTGCTCCAAGATTCCTTTGGCATGTGAACCTCAGTGCAGTAAGAGGGACTAGTTGGTAGACTTTCTTCAAAAGTTTGGTCCTGATCTAACCTGAAATGATAAATATCTGTGATCCTCAAGCAGTTTTTATCTTCCTCCTTCTGTGTGCTGCAGTAACAAATAGGTTTCTCCTTCCTTTTAGCATGCCTACAGCATGTGTTCTTTAGACAGGGATGCTCCCTCCTGTGTACACACAGTGCCTGGCCCATCGTTGCAAAATAGGTAGGAATGCATGCAAGTGCCCTCCCCTCTACACGAAGAACTGATGTCATGCTCATACCAATTTCATGTCTCAGCATCCCTTCCAGCCAGTGCTCTCGTGCAGTGGAGATATTGATAGTGAGGGTGGGGCGGCCATTCACCACTGTCATTGAGGCTCGAGAAAGCAGGTCCTCTGTGAGATGGACTACAATCTGAAGATGAGAAAGTTCAGGTAGCAAAGAGCTCTCTTCTCACTCCTGTTCCTGTTTTTTCCTTCGGCCCTTCCAGTGCTGCGTTTCTTTTGGTCCCTTGCCCTCCACAACTCTTTCTTCCTCCAAACAATCACCTATGACAGACCCTTCTGACTCTGCTGAGCTGTTGTAGTCACTTGTGCTGCTCACAAAACCTCAGGCTTCAGTGGGACTCGACATGAGGATTAAGACAGATGGAAATGAGACTGCAAAATGTAACATGGTAACACTGACTAGATTCGGGGGGCAGGGAGTAAATCATATTTAGAGCAAATTAGAAAAAAAAATCCATTTTTTTTACTGTGTCTCATGATCTGAACATTACTGAGAACTGAAAAACATTAGATAAGCATACATAAATTGACTAGATATCTATACACTTAACTGTCTGAAACTCTTTTAGTTGCAATTCTAAAGCCACATGAATGACAGAGGGAAGCACTGTGTACTTTGTTTCCTGATACATGATGCAGACTTGAAATATTATTAAAGTACTGGTATTGGTTTTGCTTGCTTTGTTTTAAACAGGAATGCAGTTAGAATTATAGAATGGTTTGGGTTGGAAGGGACCTTCAAAGATCATTTAGTCCAGCCCCTCTGCAACGAGCAGCGACATCTTCAACTAAATCAGGCTGCTCAGAGCCCTGTCCAACCTGACCTTGAATGTTTGCAGGGATGGGACACTTAAAAGAAGTGTCACAGTTCTTGTTTTCCTGTTATCTCTTGAAAAATTGGTAATTGAAACAAAAACTGCCAGAGAAGAAAATTAATTCATATTGATATATTTTGTTATTTGAATTTTAGAAGACTTTTTAAACAGGTGACTAGGAGGGAGAAGGGAAACCATCCTTTTTGAAGATTAAGCACCTTTCACTCTTCATGTAGTGTCTAAAGAAACTCCCCACAGTACTTCTCAGAAGAGTACCAAGGAAAGTATCTGCAAGAAAGATCTTTTTTTTTACTATAAAAGTTAATAAAAAAGGACCCAGGGATGAAAGGCATTAACATGACACTTCCCTTTATTCAAAACTCACCATTCAGCTTCAAATTCAACAGCAAAAAATCAGTGCAATAAGACTTGTATTTAAGATGCAGTAAAGATAGGTACATCCTAAAGCATTTTAAAGCACAGGTACCATTTATTAACACTTCTTCAACCAGATATTTTAATAGCATTTTAGACTGTACTATTATGTATTAACTGTATTTTTGCAGAAAAAGTAGAGCATTTCACTAAGAAGGACATGGGATGTTGGACGAGGGTGTAGGATCCTGCTCTTGTGAAAACAAACAAAGATAAAAATGAACTCAGAGTGAGATAAAAGCAGAGCAGACACCAAAAATGTTGTTTGGTTGGGTTTTTTTCTGCATACTCAAAACTGTAGTTTATAACCTCACTCTTAGAAACACAGGTAAAGTCTGTTATCAGTGTCAAATTATAGTCTCCCAAAAAGGTGTGATGAGTTTTGTGGTTTTTCCTCATACTAGGTTTACTAACTAAACTAGTTTTGAATAAATTAATTTTTGCCTATTGATCTCCCATTCCAGACTCCTCTTACTCATTGCCATGATCTCATCCAAGTCCTATACTGTGTCAGCTGGTCTCTTTTTATACATTAAATTTCATCTGATTCTTCCAAGCAACTTTATGTAACTCAGACAAACTGGACTTTTTAAATCCTGAATATAGAAAATGGTTTGTTTTGTTCTGTTGTTGGTTTTTTGTTTGGTTGGTTGGTTTTTGGGGTTTTTTTTGACAGGACTCTAAAAAATTAATTATTAAAGTCAGGAAAAATCAGCACTCAATTCAGCAAGCAAACTGCTTTCAGACTTTTTTATTCGCTTATGTCACTTTAATTTGTGCTGCTTCTTATAAATCAGTCTCTTGGGCTGCTGCTTATTTTTCTTGGCCTTTTCATAACTCTTTCCTTTGCTGTAAATAATCCAGTACAAGAGAACGGATGGCAGAACTGATGAATAAATGGAAATGTGCTAGTCTCCAAGTAGCTGAAAAAAGGAGGGAAGGAAGGGTGTCGTTCTTGGGTACTCCCAAAAGGGATGAATTTAAGAACAAGTGTATATGAATCAGGAAACAGACTCAAAGAGATGGCTGAAGCATTCAGAAAGAATTTGCATCATTTCAATTGTTGAAAACTTAGACCAAGCACAGCCATGAGAAAAAGATGATGTAAGGAATATTCTTGTAAATACAGAGGAAAGGCCTCCCACATGGTGTCCCAGGGCCATCCATGTCTAATTTCTAAGATCCATCCCAATGTTTCTTCCCTGATCCAGCATATCACTTACCTCACCCAGACAGCCTTCTTTTACCATGTACTTCCTGACGTGGTTCCAGATGCGACTTTTGGTCAGCAAGCTGCCTCCTGTGGCCTGTTCAAATTTTTCATAGCTTCCATATTTCTTCAGTGTCCTCTCCATAATGTGAATAGACTATAAAATACAAAAGCAGAGCAAATATGAATGCAGTAAGACCCTGTAGTCATTAGATACAGGCTGTCATACTCTTAATTCATATCATCTTCAGGCATCCATTAATGCCAAAATACTGAAAAAAGATTTTGATCAACTCAGTTTGGACCCACAAATATCAGCATGACACAGACAATTACCAGTCTAGTGACATAATATAGATTAGGGGTTGACCTGATAGAAAGTAGCCCCATAGAGAAGGACCTTGGGGTCCTGGTGGACAAGTTATCCATGAGACAGCAGTGTGCCTTCATGGCCAAGAGAGCCAATAGTCTCCTGGGGTGCACTAAGAACAGTGGGGCCAGCAGGTCAAGGGAAGTTCTCCTCCCCCCCCCTAATCTGCCCCAGTAAGATCACATCTAGAGTATTGTGTCCAGTTCTGGGCTCCCCAGTTCAAGAGGGACAGGGACATGCTGGAAACAGTCAAATGGAGGGCCACAAGGATGATTAAGGGACTGGACCACCTGTCATATGAGGAAGGGCTGAGAGACCTGGGGCTGTTTAGTCTTGAGAAAAGAAGACTTAAGAGGGGACCTTATTAATGTCTACAAAGATCTGAAGGATGGATGCCAAGAATGGGCCAGTCTCTTTTCAGTGGTGCCCTGTGATAGGACGAGGGGAAATGGCACCAAGCTACAACACAGGAAGTTCCACCTCAACATGAGGAAAAACTTCTTTACTGTGAGGGTGACAGAGCACTGGAACAGGCTGAGAAGCTGGTAGTTCCCCAGCCACGGTATTGCCATAAGTGAACCAGCACTCCTCTCTCAGGCAACATTTGGCCATAGGCAAAGGATCATGTGGCTATTAGGTTCCAAGCAGAAATGGGAACAAGACTGCTGCATTTTGATGCCCATCCTGCCTCATGGCAAAGCAAACACTCAGCCCAGTTCAGTTTCATACCAAACAATGAAGAAGCTTTTCCAACAATGTGAGGCAAAGCCTTTAGATGGAGAAGAACAGGTGAGTGAGATTCACAGGCTGAAGCCAACAAATGTAGCAAAAGATAAGTAGGTTTGAAGAATAGAAAAGATGCTTTTGAAAAAGGAGTGGGAGAATCTAGAGTGCTGATCGAAGTCAAGCAGGGGCAGAATGGGAATAGGTTTGATGAAGCAAAGGAATGGCAAAACCAACTGAGAGCAAGGAGGCAGTTTCTTCTTACCATGAAATCTCATAAACATAAGGGTATTTGAGAAGGGTATGTAAACTTTATTAACCAGTTCTCTGTTTTGATGCTGTTTATAAAGACATTACTACTATGAGATGCAGCTTTATGTAGTTTTATTTGGTGGTGTTATCCCAGAGGACTCTCCCGTCTTAGTCAGAGTGCAAGTATTTTCTAAAACCACCTCATCACAACAGTGAGAAAATTAGTTGGCTGGAGGAAACTCCCTGGAGCTGAGACATATGCGTGCCAAAGGAAGCAGCATGAGTTTGGGAGTCAGGAGGCCCAAGTTCTAGCTTCTCCTGCTTGCCTGCAAGCACCCTCCTGAATTCCTGAGCTGTTAAAAGCTTTTCCTAATATGCCGTGAGACACTTGAATCAACAGCATAATATGAATAGCAGATTGTGAAAGATCCACAACCCCCTGAAGAAGCACAGACCCGCTCTGGCCTCTCCCACCTCAACCCAGTGCACAGTTCCAGGGGAAGGGTGGGATAGTGTTATGTGCCGTGCTGAGTAACCTATATCCTGGCAGTTCAGCCACCTCTAAATAGATGTTGCTATTGAGACTCCTGAGTCTCTGTCTCAAGGAAAACAGAATGAGTCTTGCTAATTCCTTCCAAGTGGGCAGGTATGACTCTGCAAACACTGAAACAGGGAGAGCAGTGTCACACACACGTTGCCACCAGTACACAAATGTCTGGGGAGTAGCAGATCACCCCTGCACCAAAATGGGCCCCATTCCCAGTGATGCTGCTGGTTCTGACACTTTTTACTGCAATCACCACAGATGATGGTGGCTCCTCAGTGAAAAACAGTTGGGAATTTTTTTGTTTTTTTTAATCCCAGGCACTTAATCTGACAAGGAGCTTCTCATTCGGGGTTCTGCACCTGTCTCTGAGGTGACTCAAAGTCAGGTGTTGCAAGAACTTGCTGGGAAAGAGCAAAATACAGAGCAGCATGCCAACTCTTGCCTATTTCAGCATCCAACTGTGAGCTCATTTTCCAGCCTCTGAGCCAGCTGAAAGCAAGGTACTGATACTGCCACAGTTCCTAAAGCTGAACTGTAAACTCTTCAGCAACAGGTAAAAAAAATGGAAGAAAGGACTGTGTAGCTGTTCTAGGTTACTGGTTAAGAGCAGTAATTTCTGTTCTTTTCATTATCATCTAAAAGGTCTGACTTGGCTACCAAAGAGTACCAAAAGAAGCAGCAGCACCAAGACAAGTCCTTTGCACAGCAAATTCTGCTGATGCTTAGGAAAGTGATGACACAGAACACCAAGCAAAACCAGACACTGCTCTGTTTAATTTACAGATTTAGGTTTTGGTAGTGGTAGCTTTTTAAAATAAATTACAGCCAGGTAGGTCTCTGAATCCGAAGTCACCCAACAATACAGCTCAGTTACTTGAGAGTTATTGTAGATACAGGTACTGATAATCTATGCTTGTGAATTGTTTGAGGCAAGTTAGAAAATGAGCTCAGTGGCCCAAGAGTCAGCCCCCTGTGTTTAGTCAGCTTGTCCTACAGTGAGAAGCAGCTCTGCTACAAAAGGGTTGCAATCTCAGCTGAGATTTTTGAGATTATTAGGAGACAGTTGAGATTTGTGAGACTATTTTCTAAGAAAAGGATTGGAGGCATCATTGCTTTTCTCCCTGCATAGCTTATTTGCTGAGGGGAAAAACTTCCCAGCTGCATCCTTAGGTAACACTAAGATATACCAGATGGAACTTGTTAATCTAATCATCAGCCATGAAATGGTGCCTGCTCTCCTTTTGGGTCAAGTGGAGAGGAGGGAGAAAGGAAAGAGCAGATTTTTGAGGCAAGTCTACTCAGGCTGTAGTATTTTGAGTTTTATTCAGTGTTTATAGTGTTTACTCTTCTTTTGCATGCTTGTTCTCAGTGATAAAGAGCATGTTTGAGTAATGTGGAGCTGATAGAAATATGTTAATGAAAAACTTTTCAAATATTTTCTAAGGAATTAAACATTAATTCTTGGGGTTTTTTTAATGAGAGTGTGACCTGAAATAAATCTGTGCTCCTACTGTAATATCACCAGAGGTAATCTATAGCCTCTCCTAGTGGAAAACAGAAGTTTGTGCAGGACTCTATGAACTTAGGCAACTTGGATGGTTTGATATGCTGTTATATATTAACACACTTGGTCTGTTAATCTTAGTTTAAGAGGGAATTAGTTACTAGTGGAGAATGTCACAGCCAGTGATACCTTATTGAATCTTTGACATGCCTAAGATATGACATCACCAGTGCATTGCAAAGGATTACTCCTCAGTATTCAATGTCATGTTGCTTAGTTTTCCAGCTCCAACTAACTATTCTTCCAACATCTGATAAATTTGCTAATTATAGGCTGCTCATATTAATGACTTAAAAGGTGTGTGACACAAACACTTACAATGTGGTGCAACTGATTTATTTATGTTAACTCAAAACCTCTTTGATTATTTTAGTTCAGCGAATTGTAACTGTGAAGTCATTTCCTCTGCAAACACTGGATACAATTACTTCTAGCCAAGTATTGCCATCTGTAGTATCTGTGCAAAAATAACAAACATTTTAGGCAGTTTAAGCCAGAAGGAATGCTATAATTGAAGCCAGAAGAGGTACTAGTGAAAAAACTTCCATGGCACTTAAGAGCACACAGTTGCTGCATTGGCCTTGAAACTCAGCAGCAAAATAATTGATTTCAGTAACATTAGAGATGTCAATCAATGTGAAAATCTGCAAGTCTGCATACTGTTTTCTTATTCTCAGGTTCTCTTACCTAAAATAACATATTGGGAGACTCATGAAGGAACCTTATTCGGTAGAAAAGACAGAGCAGAAAGAAACAAGGAAGTAGAGCAAACTACGAGAAGGCATTAAAAGTATTATTTTCAAATGTATTAGTAATTTAAAAATTATTACTCTGTCTGTGCAAAGTCTATTGATAAAAGTGTTGGGCTGTGCCCAGGGTTTAAAATCTTTGATCTGACTAGATATCTGGGGTGAAGTGGATACTCATCAGCCTATACGTTCCCCATTGCAGTGTTGCTTTGTTAATGGCTTGTAAATCCATAGTGTTCTTTTCCTTTAACAAAAGAAAGAAAGGGGGCAGGGCGTGATTGGTCTTCCAGATACCTTGCACTATTGTTATATTAACCAATTGCACAGACATGCTGTAAGCACCTTTCCTATAAAACAGGAAGAATTCCATTTCTGTTCAGAGAAAGCAAAGCTTCCTAATGTAAGTATAGCAATAAATAAAAGCAAAAAAATATTTTGTTGTTTTGGGTTTGGTTTTTTTTAGTAATTAAATTTATCCTTGTTGCAGGAAAAGCATGACTACATGCCATTGTGGCTTTAATGCAGACCCGAATCTTGATGCTGTGAGTACTTCTCTTTTTTTGCCACTGAAGTCATCTTTCCTGAGCACAACCCTTCTGTTAGATACCTATGTGTTTCTTCTGCCCAGTAAAATCTGCATAGAACAAAAACCAGCACTGAGGCAAAGCAAGCGCTCCTACAATATTTTCTGATTAACATTTTGATTGATGTTTCTTTTTCTGTATAGTACATATGCATGAAATTCAAATTTGCCTGGAGATGAAAACTTTTACAGCTGGTTGTAGCTGAAAAGAGAGAGAGAGCACCACCTGCTGAGCTGGGATCCGTGTTAGAGGTGCTTTTGTAGTGCCTTAAATGAAGTGCAAGATTTTGCTCGGTATTTTTGGGAGTTGAACTTTGAAGAAAAGCTTCTCTTGCTACGAATTTCTTTAATCTTATGAAACAATTACAGCCTCTTTGACAAGTTTCAGAAATATCACACTTCATTGATATTAAATCCTTCACTGCTTGTTACAAAGTTGTTACAAAGCCTTTATTTTCCCATGTTTTGTATGTAAAGGAGAAATGGGTGAAGTCACAAATTAGAATATTGAGGAATCTTTCATTATTAAAATGTTCATTATTTTGTTGGGTTTGTTTTGTTTTTTTGGTTTAGTTTATTTTGTTTTTTTTTAATTAAAAGAAGGGTAAATCAATCACTGAGGAATCTTTAATTATTAAAATGTTCATTATTTTGTTGAGTTTAGGTTTTGTTGGTTGGTTGGTTTTTTTTTTTAATTAAAAGAAGGGTAAATCAATGATAGAACTGCTCCACAAAATCATTATGCATGAAACAGTTTTCAAGGTTCTACAACTTATTGAAAGGGATAATTTGTATTCAATTTGGCAAGTTAGTTATAATGATTTGCTGTAGTCTGTGATAAATGTTGCTAACAGAGGAACACTTGCTATAAAGCTCTAGCCAAAGACTAGTTTTAATGGTGTCAGTGTGATTTAATTGTTTGTTTAGAAGTATAGAAGCTGATCTTAAGAACAGAACAGCTGCTTCTCTGCTCTCATTGAGAAAATAAACTCTTAATGAAACACAGCTACTGAGTTTTTGAAAAAAAAAACAAACAACAAAACAAAAAACAAAAGCAACACAAAAAATCAAAACAACAAACAAAACCCACAAGAAGTCACACTTTTCACAAGTCAAAAGTCAGTTACTAGAATCCAAGGTACTTAATGTATCCTTTTCACCAGGAATTTTGAGAAGTTTTAACTGAAATATTTGTATCACAAGTGAAATACATGGAATGGCAGAATCTCTTTCCAAGTTAAGTATCAATTGAAACATGAGATTCTCTATTTTAAAAAGCCTGTCAGACTTAAATAAGATCTTTCTAAACCATTTTAAAATAGCAAAAAATGGGAAGAGGACTGGTTCTGTTATTACATAGATAAGCATTGGGTTTTGTCACTTAGGTCACATTGGAAAGCAAAGATTCTGTTGCTCTTGTCACTTTGTTGTTCTTTTTTTAACAACTCAAAGACATGTAGGAAGCCAGAGTAGTTACACAGAAAGGGAATATCTGTAGCTATGTTGACAGTTTGGCTGTATAATATGGAGGAAAAAATAGGGGGGGGGGAGGTTGTGTTTTTTAGTGTTGTACTTCTCTCTTGAATGGAATTTGTCTGCTGTTTGATTCAGCCTAATGTATATACAAATATCCTTTCAAAGTTGATTAAAACAAGGAACATCAACATATGCTTATCCAATAATCATGACCTCAAATAACTGCTATGCCCTCCCAGTTCTTCAGTCACCAACAGGATTGGCAGGATTTCCACACTGCTTTTCTCCTCTCTTTATTAAAGCCTATTTAAGCATTATATTTCTTGTGTACTGGACCCGGCTTCGTTGCCTAAAAAGCTTTCTTGCTCTTAGATTATGTTTCATAGATCTATAAAGATAGATATATAAGGAACTGTGCTTTTATCCTACAGATTCCTGCAAATTTTAGGAAGGCTTTTATTTTTTAATAAAAAACATTTTCTTTCAGTTCTACTGTTGCATTCTCACCTTTGATGCGTTTTTCAAACCAGAGAAGTGGATAAGGAGAAACAACCTGCTACAAACAAAGCCACACGCCTTCTTAATAGCTGTAGGAAAAAAATAATCGGTGGAAAGGGAGGGAAAAAAGTAACTATACCTGCTTAAGAAATCTGTCAGATGCATGACTGTGCTTAGCTAACACATTTGGCAGAGCAGGGTTTGCATATTCAAACTGAGGATTGTATGTGAAATCTGACTTGAAGAATTTAATCTTCTCTTTCTCCACATTAGAAGGCTTGATTGCAGTCAGTAAACAGAGTTTTTGGCCAGAGACATCACCTTCTTTGCCATGGTTTTTTGAGGACTGGGATTGCTTTGGCTTTGTTTGATTAAAATGCCTCTTGGTTCTACTTCTGGGTCGAGATGGGAGTCCTATGCTGCTCCTCCCGACTGCAATACTGTTTGTAAACTTCATGCTGGTAGCCACTGGGCTAGTGATGATGATGGAGGGTTGTCTGTTTGTGCAGTACCATCCACTGCTGAGCAAGGGCAGTGAGACTCTGATTTTACGCGGCTCGTTGCTTCGCGAGATGTTAGAGCACCTTATAGCTTTTTTGTGTTTCTTGTGGTGAGCAGACGGCTGCTTTTGAGTGTGGTGTTTTTTCTCCTCTTTGCTCTGCAGAAGGACATTGTAGCTACTGGTTCCTGTTGTGAAAGTGTCCTTAAGGATCCCAGAAGGTGGGTGCTGGAGGCTCTTTTCATTATTAACATTCAGCTTATGTTCTTCTCGGCTCAGGATTGATTTCCTAGAAAGTTCTGTCTTAGGCCAGTGAAGTTTTTCTGCATTGAGAGAAAAGGGGGAGAGGGAGGGAAGTAGCTAAAGACAAATTTGATAGTTTCACACAGCAATACTGATCTTAAGGACTCCAAACTGCACCAAAAAAGAAACACAAATTGTCTTAACTGCAGTCACATCAAATTAATCTTGACTTCTAGATGTACAGGAGAAAGGTGTGCGTATTACTCTCGAACAACTAGACTGGTACTTGCAAGATCCAGCTAAACAAGTATTTTACGGTTGCACCTCCATGCTTGAGTGTACTGTTTGCAGCTAAGAACCAACTTGTTTAAAACAAGAGGCTGTGCAGGACTTCATGAATGTCTACAGTTATATTAACACCTTTTTAGTTTTGAGTAAAATCTGATTGATCTTCAACATGCAAGGAAGGCTTCTGTATGGATAAAGAATAACTTAAAAAATAACTTTAGAAACTGTATAAGATTACATGAGCAGGATTTACAATGAAGTCCCACAGGAATCTGTGCTGTGATATAAGCAGTCTAGTGTGGTCTCTTCTGCAAAATATGATTCACAGAATTTACTCTCAGAAAGGATGAGAACTTTGGAATGGGCCAGCCACTACGAGCCATATACAACACCATACAAATTGTAATATAAGTTTTAAAGACTTCAGTTTCACATGCTGCTTCTTGATACAGACAGTAGGCTATATTTAAAGAGGAGCAAGATGAGCTATTACAAACAAACCTCTAAGAATCCTTAAGACAATACTATTATTTAATCTATTCAAAGCTGCTCTACAATAACAGTTGACTTTAAGAAAATGCTTGAAGAAACTTTGTAAACTAAACTGAATGCAAAAGACAAATAAGGTTCCTTTAGTGAAAGAATCCTCCTTTCTTGCTCTGACCCCTGGCATTGCCTTCAGGGGAGACGGGTTGCTGGTGCAGAGCAGCTGCAAGGGAAAGTCAATGAGGATTAAAACTGGATTTAACATTTGTGCTGGCTTGTTAAAGAAAAGTGACCTCTCTTCACCGATTCTAACCAACCCCTTCACCAACCAGTTCATCCTAGAACACCAGGTGAGACAAAAGTAAAGGCATAAATAAATCCTGCCACAGAGAAATTCTTCCTACTTGTCTACCTAAAATGAAAGGATTCATGGAGCAAGAGATATGGCCAGAGCTTGCAAGCCTGCAAAAGCTTCTGCCCACAGTTATACATAGCTGAGCTGTAATTTCTTTACATACAGTAATTATACTCTGAATGGAACATTAGCATGAGAGCATTAAATGCCTCCAAGGGGAAAAAAACCCAGCAAAACACACAAAAAAACCCTCCAAAACCAACAGTACTTTAATTTCAGCTTTATTTTCACTGTAAAATTCGGTTTTGCTCCCAATATAAGCACCATGACAATGTATTTCATGCTGTTGGACCTCTGTCAGTTCCATGTCAATTTGTGTTCCTTGGTTCTCCTGAACATGCTGATCTAAAGTGCAAAAAGACAGAGGTCATATTTGCATGAACATACAATGGGAAATCTGCAGCCAGGGTGTTTTCTCCACTGGAAAGAGAGAGGTAGAAGCATTAGTTTATCCTTTTCCACTAAAGTGTGCATATTGTATGCAAGCTCCGTTTGGTTTCACAGTAAGTTTGCAAATCCTTTTCCTATGCTTGGTGCAGGAATACATGCCTTGGCATTCC